CGCAGTAAGTTTCAATGAATTTTTATTTGACTTCATGATTAAATTTTAAGCTTAAAATTTATGGAGATAATCAATACTTCATGAAGAACATGCTCCCAAAATTTCATCAAAAAATCTATCGGAAAGCTCCTCAAATGACGTCAGTCGGACGGCAGTTCCATTCCGTCCGGACTAACAAGAACATTAATATATATATATCTAATCTATAAAATCTTATAAACACCCATGAAGGTTAGGGTATTTTTGGTATATTAAATGTATTTGTGTAACACAAAACAACATGCTATTGTACAATATGACCTGATCATCGTACTATAGACTTTTACTCTTGCTCATTCGTTACCTCCGTTAAAATCAAAGCATCTGTATTCTGTCATTTTTGAGCGTCAATATTTCAAAATAAAATTTTACAAGGGGACTTGGTGTTTTTTGCAACTCAATTTCTAGTGTGATTATTTATACTTCCATTAATGTAAATAAGATTATTTATCTAATTTGTTAAATATGTCATCCTAAACTTTTGTACGCGAGCGGTGAATATGTTATTCATTCTCTTTCATATACAATCAATAACATGAATTAGATAATGTGTATAGAGATTTTATCCAAATTTGGAGCCAAAGGAAAAAGAGTTAACATCCTTTAAAATAGTTTGGTGTAGAAAGTATGTGCATGTTTATCGAGCGTCCAAATTGAATACAGAAAATCTATCGAGCCAAATGTGAGCTCCGTTTTGTACTGGGTAAATTTCATTTCATTGTTTTAGTGTAGCACATTAATGGTAACTTCATTTGTATAATATATGATCATTAACATGTTGAACTTTTATATATGAAATTATTTTCTAATATTCAATTGTATATGAAATTATGATGTATTTAAAATTACAAGGATTAATTGGAGTTATAAAAGGGTGGTATCATGGAGTGGCTGTTGGCTCCTCTCTGGGCGCTGCGTCGCCGAATCGCTGGTGTCCCAAACGTTCGAATCTGACCTGTGGTTGCCTTATACCTTTTTAGGCTCAGTGATGGCATATGCTTGACTCTTGAGTCGAGATTGTCGACAATGGGCATGTTTAGCAATTGGAATCAAACATTTTGATTATAATTAGTTTTTATGATTAATTTTCTCAAAGAGGAAATGTCTTTGAAGACGAGTGGTCATTTCCTAGAGTTCTCTAGGGTTTTGTTTTTCGGTGGGGTTTAATGCCCGCGGCCAACAGTTTGTTCACCTACTGGGTTTCACAGACAAGGTCACCAAAGCAGGGCATTGAGCTCGAGGCAGACTTTGGTGATTTCAATGATGAAGCTTGAGGAGCAGTACTACATGTTGACAATGGAGGGCGGAGAGGAGGGTCTGGTGCTCGAAAATGTGGTCGATTGTGCCGCGGGAGTACGGTTTCTGGTGGATTTTGCGGTAGTCAGAATTCTCTTAACCGAAAACGAGATTTGGAAAAGGGATTTAACTTTCAGTCTTTCACCCATAGTGGAGCAGCTCGTCCCCCTTCGGAACCACATTGGTGTCAGGAAGCAATTTGTGGAGGGAAAAAAATTCCTTATTTTTTTCTTTAGGGGTACTTGTTTTTATTTTAATTCGAGTAAGTATGGTTGGACAGTTTATGGTCAAATCAATGGACCAATTCAGAAACAATAGAATAGAGTAATATAAAAATAACCAAAAGGGGGAAATCATGGATGAGTAGCATGGAGGATGATCTCTATCAACTCGCATGTGCATTAGTCTACTCCATCAGGTAGGCTACGAGTTTTGCAAAATACCCAGGGAATTGCCTGCATGATTTTAGCCACAACAACCACATATCCGCATTTTAGACATATTTCTCTATCAGGTCAAAAATCTGATAGTATAATATTAGTATTTAATAAAAATCACATACCCGATACATTATTGTGAAAAAAACAACCACACCCACATTTCATCTGGTTTAATCCACCACCGGCATTCACCATATTGTACCAATCTGCCTTTCCATCTAACCCTGCAATGAAATAAATAATAATAGTAATTATAATTATAACGATAATTAATAACAATAATAGTAAAAACAGTAACAAATGGTATAGGAACACAAACTAATCCTTAGATGAAGGGAGAATTTGCATTAGTTTAGGAGCTTACTTTTGTGACTTTTTAGATAAATGCATTTAGTAAAATTCACACTATTAGGTTTGGACCATATCTCTGAATACGTAAATGCTTAAAAAAATGCTGAAATTAAATATATGAATAAAATATCTAGAAAGGAGTCTATTTTACATTATTTAGAAGCCGGTGCATTTGGTAATTGATCTAGGAACTACAAATGCCTTGTTTTGACTACGAACATCCCTTGAAGCTAGCATCTTTAAGGGTTCCGCCACCTGGATCCCTTCACCTCTTTCACCATGATATGTAACTACTTATCCATTGTCATGTTAATGAGACCCTTGATGCCTCATAGTTTGGCAAGTGACAAGAGAATCTGAACAATCCTACATAACCTAATATAACAATAAAATCAAACTCATTTAAATTTTAGACGCAAAAAATGTTCACAAACATTCATTCCTGAAAATATTAAATGGTTTTATAATGTGTAAGCTACATGTTTGTGGTTTACATGATCCGCTATCACTACAAAAAAACTCATTTATAGAGGTACGTTATAAATGCCTCTAAATCTAGAAAAGTAGCCTCTAACGGCTTTTTGGGCACAATAAACATTTCAAAATAATAATATTTTTTATAGTAACCATTCTTAGTTTTTTTACAATAAAATGCTATTTTACGAGTACGAGTTAAAATATGTTCGTAACAGTGAATTTATTAGTTTTGAGTGTCATAAATTTTTATTGTTCAAGTTGTTACTCTTTTGAGATAAGCATTTGTTTGCCTTGATTTACCTAGAAGACGCACATTAAGAGGCTAATTTCTCAAATGGTTGCCTTTATGAGTCAATTTAAATCTTAGAGAAACATATTTCCGAGGCAACTATATCGGTTCTAACCAATTTTTAGAGGCAATCTCTAACCATTGCTCTAAATAACAACTTTTTGAGGCAAGTAAATTTAGGTCGCCTCAGCATGCCTGGAACTAAAGGTTTTAGAGGCAATCATTAACTATCTGTTTCTAAATAGTGTTTTTAGAGGCAATAAAAAAGAAATTGCCTCAAAGTGTTGCCTCTATAAATGGATTTTATTGTAGTGTATTTGTAATTTAATACCATAGGAGTTCATGAACCATTCGTCCATAATGTAAGTAATTATATATAGTTATATAGAGATTAGGTAACTTACTTCCACCATAAGATTCTAATCAACTGTAGGCCGTGCTTCCTCATGTGTGCCCACAACTGCTTCACGATCTGGTTTGGAAAAGAAGGACGCGTCGGTACTTATAACTCTAATCAACGTTTACCTTCAAATGAGGACCTAACCTCAGTTTTAGGGAGTGTCGATTGACCAACAACATCCTCAAGTTTTGGTGTTACACTGCAGACTTCGTTCAACCCACCCGCTTCCACTCTTATTTTGATACCTAATCTTGTCCTCCATGATTTTTTACTATGATACTGTCATTATATCATATAGACAATATATGGAAGCTACATTTGTAATGTTGATATTATAGTTTTCTTTCAATAAGGGAATTACATGTGAGATACAAATTCTAAAATCTAAGCAAGAAGATGTTATAATGTTCTTGGCAATATATTTTCAAACATTGGGAGACGAGTGATCACAATCTGTTAGGTCCCCTAGATTTTGATGATCATTATGTATTGTTTTGATGATGCCACCCCTTTTTGTATAATTCATGTATTAGACTAGTACTTGTATTTGTTCTACTTTGTTTATTGTAATGTGCAAGTCCGACTCAAGAAATTGAACTCAAGCTTGACTCATTTGCTTAATGAGGCACCTCAAGTTCGGCTCACATGAGGGCCGTCTACAATCACTATGAGGCCCTAGACGAATATGTTTCACTAAGCACAATTATACAAGTACGTTATTTATACTCTTGTTCTCAACAATATTGGAGGGAGAAGATTTTGTGCTTACGTACTTATCTATAGAGCTAAAGTGGGCTTATAATGAAGTCCTTTTCTTTTCTTAATTTGTTCTTTCTATTTGTACATCATTATTAATGTTTTCATTTACCGCAATAAAAAACTACAATTTTATTCAAAATAATAAATAAATAAATAAATAAATGATCAATACAGACAAATTTAATTGACATATAAAATATTTTAAGCATTCAATATTTCAATGAATCACAAAGATTTTAATTATTCTATATTTCAATGAATCAGAATCACAAATCACAAGTTCATTATATAAAGAATTCTAGATTTTAAGTATTGAGCTATTAATTAATTTATTGTAATATTAAAAAAACACTAGGCCCTAGTCCTCTAATCGACTAACAATGAAAAATATAAACAAAAACTAAAAGATGAGAAAAATACGAAAAAAGTACTTGTGGTTGGACCGTTTTCAGATTGGGTCATGCGTTTCATTTTTAAGAAAGTCGTCACGTGTTTAAATTTTGTTATCATAGGAGGGTCATGACGTCTAATGCCATTAAGAACATCGGAGGAAGACGATTTAAAATAACTCCGATTTTCAAAAGTGTCCGAAAGTAAAAGAAAAATAATGGGAGGTGCGCCTCGTCAAACCGACCTCCAAACGATCTTCATCTTTGGATTTTTTTTTGGATCTGTTTAGATTCTTTTTAAAAAATGAATTTGCTAATATTACTTTTTTGATGGATTTTCCGGTGACAAAGGTGGCTTGGAAACAAAAAAAAAAAAGATGACCTAGAGGTCGTCTTGTTGAGGCGCCCCTTCCAATATTTTTTTGAAATTTTCTGAGCACTTTGGAATAATACGGAGCGATAAAATAAGTAATCTGAAATAAACTGTAGTAAATGAATTAATGAAATTGTTAATTGATATTCTTGTAAGTGGACTGGAGTACAATTTTATTTTACGTAGAGAGAAACGATGTGGTGGTCATCAATGATCAAACGGTCACAAGAGCGAGAGTAGGGAATTTCTCTCACCTCTTCTCTCTGAATATATGTGAGGCTCAGCCCCTTTTATCTGGCTTTCTTTCCAATTTCGCGTGTATTTCCCGAATCCCCTGACATCGAAGAAAGAACAAGAAACCAGCCACTTCTTCAAACCCCTCTTCCCTCCCATCTATCAAGAGAAACCAGGAGTGGTTAATCGAGTGTGAAAAACCCAAGCAACCCGATTGATTGTTCCCATTGTTTCTGAAATCGTATACGTTGTATTTAGTCTGAACGCTCTTAACTGAGATCTTGTCCTTCCTACAATGTTCTTCGCCTTGTAGCGGACAAGGTATATAAAATCAATGCAAATCAAATTTGTCGTTTCAGTTTCAGCTAACTTTCATGACCATGTATATATCCGGATTTAATTGTTTTTGCGAGTAAAAATTGAGATTTTTTTCGGAAAAATGTTGAAGTTTCACTTTGATTCCTTTACTCTTTTAGTCTCCCATTATTTTGCAAATTAGGGTTTCAGAACTTTTTTGGTTCCCATATTTGGGTACTGCAGGATTCCTGCTTGTCTGGCTCTGTGCTGGATTTTCTTTGTTTTTAGGGTTCTTCAATCGGATCAGAATTTTTTATTGAGTTAGGGTTTTGTTCAGCAATTCACACTTTCCCATTTTTTCTGAGATAGTTGGGTGGTGCCTAACTACTTGGGTTTCATCACTCACAATTTCACTGACAGATCGCCCCATTAATGAGAGTGTGTTGTGCCCCTACTGGCCTTCAAGCAAAAAATTAGTGTGGATTCCATTCTTCTGGATGCTCATAAGTGAATAATACTAGTATTATCTTGTGCTTGTTTTGAAAGGGCATGGAAGAGGATTGTAGGTACAAGTAAAATTGTCTAGAGGGGAGTGGACTAGTGGAGAGAAAAGGAAAAAAAGCTGAGACACTTTCAAATCTTTCTAGGTAAAAGATTAAAAAATCACTTTTGGACATTTTCATCTGAAGAAATCTTTTGGATTGACACAGTTTTTGTGGATGCTTGTGCTCTATATAGCAGTGGATAATAGTGCTTTATCTGCTCTTGTTGGTGAGTGCCACCGGAGTGTCATTTTTCCGTCGAGCTTTCAACAATATTGTTTGAACTTCTGGTGCATCTGGAGTGTAACATAGTAGAACAGAGCTCTGGAAAGGAATGTGGGGTCATGGTGCATGGAGAAGAATATAGTTGCTGCTGTGTTCCCTCACTGGAGCATTGTTGTAAGAAAGTAATTGGAGGATACTGTTTTTCACACGGCACTCTTTTTGCTGCTTGTAAAATTGTGTGCGATGTCTCGCTGCTTTCCTTTTCCACCACCAGGATATGAAAAGAAACCCAATTCAGTTGATGCATTTCTGCCAAAAGAGGTTTGTAATACAAGTATCAATTTTGAAATACCTCTCACTTGCATGGCTCTGTGAACTTATAATATTATTACAATGAGAAGGCCATGTTTGGACAGTTTGGCAAATTCGCTTGAGCTGCAAAGAAAAATTTGAAAAGCTTTCTGTCAATATGTTTGACCTCAGGGAAGATATGGTGCCTTATTCTTTTATTGATTGATTTTTCATACCTGTGTTGGCGTTGTTCCAACTTTGATTAGAAATGGCCAATGTGTTTGCAACACTTTCTGCGGTGTTGCTAATATAGGCTTATTTTTGTGCATATGGAAAAGGTTACACACTGCACACTCAGTAAAATGCGAATATGCAACACTAATCTTTGCTAGAAAATATCTAGAAGTTTTAGCAAAGCATGATTATAATATCATAAACTCATCACACAGTTATATAGCTAGTATATGTTACTATGTATGTTAGGATTTGGATGTGATACATCATAAATGTGGTGACAAGCTGACAACATTATGGAACTGTGATTTCACAGTTACCCAGCATTCTGGATTCGATAGTCATTTCTCAGTAGTATAATTGTGTCCTTCTAGAAATCTAGAATAAATGGTTTTCAATAAATTTGGAAACCAGAAGCTGCTATCTTGGATTTTGAAGGCATTTGTCTACTACATATGAAGTATTGGAGTGGTTGTAATTTTAATTTGTTTGGTAAGATAGAGTAATCGAATTTGACTGCTGGCTAATGATCGTGGTAATTCACATAATGGTCGAATTTATTTTTGGTTGGACAATAGTTTGAGCTGAATGCAGAAGTTGCTTAGCTTCACGTTTGGACACCATGCATTATCATTGAGTGATGCAGGCCTGATTATGTGCTATAGATTAGGCAGCCCTTGCCGGCCTTTTGCTTTTATGTCCAAATTTAGATATTAGATTCATGCCATAGAGTTGAAAGAATGACCTGCATTGTTAGTGCTTGTCCTAGGTAAAAACATGTAGTATTCGATATTCCTGATTTCAAACATAGAACAGATGACTTTTATTGCAGAGTCAACTTTTCTAAACCCTAGAGGAATGGCGTTGTCCTAGAATTACTTCTCTCCTATTAAGCGTTAATTTTTCATTCAATTGTATTAGAATTTGTTGACATTTTCTTCATTTTTTCAATGCATCTATCTCATAAAGTTTATTCCATTAGGTTTCTATTTGGCATTGTACCCTCTAGACATCTCACAACATTAGAGCTGGGTATGCCAAACTAAAGTGAATTGAACAACTTTCAGTTGGCCAAGGAAACAAGAAGTGGATTGCTAATTTGGTTACGCTATTTTGTTTCTAATCCAAATAGATTGATATAACATTTACGCCCATAATATTACACTTGTGAGGTCTGCATAGCACATACGGATTATAATATTTCAGGCTTTCAGCATTTTTTTTAAATAAAGTAGGGATTGAAAATCCTATTGGGTGCAAATAATCCATGTGCTTTCGTAAGCCCATGCTAAAGTTTCAATCAATTCCTGGCAAAGCCTTGCCAATAAATTAAGAATATAAATTCAGTACCAATGGCTCCTATAAAAATAGTTAGGGTCAGTTGCCTACCAGTAACATTGAGAACTACATATAAGAATATGACAGTTGACACGAGCAGGATACTGCTAGTGTTATAAAATTTTGCTTGATGTGCATTGTTAAATAATGGAAGACATAACTGAGAAATTTCTAGGGATAAGAGTGTTGGAGATATATGAGTATATGACAAAGAACTCATAAAGATGCCCAGACTTAATATAGGAATTTTGTCACATGCTTTTAATGCTGCATATGTTTCCTTCTATGGTCCTTTGTTTAGTCGTTTAGATATACTAATGTGAAATGAAGCACATAGTTTGTTTGTGCATTTGTGCTTTCATTTTGTATAATAAAATGCTGATTATTTCTTATATATCCTTGAGAGAAGAGTAATCCTATTCAACTATGGAAAAGTGGACATAAACATTTTATAAGGTGTTTAGTTTTCTAAAGACTTGAAGTTTCATTCTTAAAGGTTAGTCTGGTAGGGAGTAGACTTTTATTGTTTCATACTAAGTCTTCAACACGTTTCCTCACCTCAAATTGGGCTTAACAACATGAGGATAGATAAATGAGTCAAACAAACTCTAACAGGCCGAGTGCTCATAGGAAGAGTAATCGATCTTAAAAGATTAACCATGATCTTATATATTAGTTTATTAATCTTCTAAGTCGGTGTGAGACTGTGAGATATATACTTCATCATGTTGTTTAGTTATATGCATCCCTCTTACAAAGAAGGTCACAGTGCGACCATGAAGACATAAATGATGCCAAACCTTTCGTTTGACTTTACATTTGAAGAAAATATTTTGCTTCCCCATATTCCCCTTTTTTATTTATTGACTATGTGCCTCCTCCATCTCATAAAGATTCTCAAGCTTGGCATTACTTTTCTTTTTGTGATGTTCCAAAATTTTCTTTCTATTTTCTTTTATTTGATGGTTCGTGTGGTTGATATTTTTTCTCTTCTTTTACATCAACTGTAATCATACAATTCCACTTTTTTAATATGTGTGTCAAATCAAGCTAGGAAGAAAATTTTGGATGGAGGAAGTAATATTTATCACTTTATGTTAAAGGGTTGGAAGTGATATACATGTATTCTTGGTTGGCACTCATAAAACTACTAAAATACTAAACTTGTAATTTTCACTAAAATATACTCCGTATTAACTAACAATATTAGTCAAAATGAAAATTCATTGACTAAAAAATCAAACATTGCAGACCTTTCTGGGAGGGACAGAGTAGTAATATTTTGGTTAGGGTATTTGAAACAGATAGGAGGCTATTTAAAACGTTCATGCCAATGTCTTCTCTATCGACTAGTGGAGTTTACCTTTTCATATACTATCTCTGTTCTTTAAATAAGTGCGACATGTTGAATTTTACACTATTCACATGTTCTACTTTGACTATGTTTTATTTATTAATGCTTAAAGAAATATTTTTTTAATTTTTTTTTAAAATCTATCTCATTGTAAATTTTTAAAATCCATTTTTTTTAATTTTTTACTAATAGAAAACTAAATATGTTAATGTTCAAAGTTGTGCGTTGGCAAACATGAAAAAGAAAGTGTGGCACTTAAAAGAGAACGGAGGTAGTATCTCCAGAAATGTCCTTGATGCTGTGTATAGTCATTTTCACCTCTAAGTTGTACTGTCCTCGGGCTTTGTCATTTGATTCTTCTTATACCCCTCCCTATCTCCCATTATTTGGATGCTGATGTGTCAACAATCACAAAAATTGCTTTACCTGCTTGTTCTTGTAAACTTTTTTCCTATTGTCCGCATCCGGCATGCTTATCTAAGTACTTCCTTGTGGAGTGTTCAAAGAAATTATGGCCACATCCTTTTCATCATCATTCATCGTCATTACCCCAGTGCCGCAAGGGCTCCCACCTAGAGTGGGGTAAGGGGGTCGGATGTACGTAGCCTTACCCCTGTACTACCCCTGTACTAGTACAGAGAGACTGTTTCCGGATGACCCATAGTGAAATTCGCATAAAAAATTGCATGAACTGATTGCCACTTCATAACAAAGAAGCGTAGACAGTTTAGTGAGTCATTTTGCTTTATTCCATCATTTTCCTAAGCCAAAAAATAACGAGTTTTTGGCTCCATTGCCAATGATGGAAATATATGGCCACATCCTTTTAACTGAATAAAATAATCTCAGTATTAGATATTGAAGAGCTGCATTGGCTTTCCCTCTTGTTGTTGCACACATTTAGCTATGGGGTCACAAGAACACAGAATACATTGCTGGTGCTGCTTTGCACATCTTTGATCAGGAACCACGTGCTAGATATATGGGATTCTTAATTTGATGGACGCTTTTTAGAAATAAAAAAACCTGCAATTCTTTTTCATGCCTTGTGTGTGTAAACACTAGCATCCAAGTGCACATCTCATAAATTCATCGATGAGAACTACTCATGTTGCACTAATGTGGAAGGAAATGTATGTATATTTTTGGGTAGGAATACCAACTGCAATGAATTGATTCATGTAACATGCTTTGTGGAAATTGAGTAGTAGGAGTAATAACTCTTGCAGACATGTGGATAATGATTTACTCTTAATTTATAAGTTAGAACCCTTTTAATTTTGTTTCAACTTTCAACTTTTTGTCTGCGTGCCCACATTTACATATGAGTGTACTATATTACACATTTACATTAATATATTATGAATGCACTTCAATATTTAATGCTTAATTAATTTTAAAGCATCCATCACTTCAAAGTGCAATATGCAGTTTGCTTTAACTATGTCTCTTGCATCTGTTTCAGGAGAAGAGCAAAGAAAAAAGACATAAAAAGGAGAAGAAAGATAAAGAGAAGGGAGAAGGTAAAGAAAAAAGGGATAAGGATAGAAGGGAGGGGAAACACAAAGAAAAGAAAGACAGAAAAGATAAACAAAAGGACAAGAAGGAAAAGAGTAGAGACAAGAAAAGGGGGGACAGAGAGAACAAAAGCAAAAATAAAGATAAAAAAAGTGTCTGTGAGGAAGCATTGGCTGTTGGCCATCCTGGAGCTCTTTCTACTTCAGAAGAACCTGATAAGAATGTCATTAATTCAGATGAGAAGAAAACCTCTGTTCAACACGGACAGAAGGCCATTCAAGGCAGATTGGGTCTTAATGGAGAGGCAGAGGAGTCGAAATTTGTGCAGGAGCTGGCTAGAAGGATCAAAGATGAAGAAAATGGGAAAGGAATCCAGTTGGCTGGAAGATTCTCAGGTGAGGGGCAGAAGGAAGAGAAAATCGGCAAGGTGGTTGGGGTCAAGGTATCTAGAAGTTTGGCTGAAGACTTGGGAAGTAACATAGAGAGGAGTGGCGTTGATGACAGAAAGCTGGGTAGAGGGGTCAGAGTTGACGAAAATGGAAAAGGAATCCTGTTGGCGGGAAGATTCTCTGGTGAGGGGAAGAAGGATGAAAGAATGGACAGGGTGGTTGGCGACAAGGTTTCTAGAATTTTGGCTGAAGATTGTGGGACCAACATGGAAAGGAGTGGTCTTGATGACAGGACGATGGATGTCATGCAAGCAACCGTGAATGAATCTAGACGTAGGACTAATGCATTTGTCGCCCCTAACATCTATAGGTCCAACGATAATAAAGTCGAAGGGATGCCCATGGCTTGTGGGGTCAAGGGGAATTCATTGAATTTTACTGAAAATAAGGTTGCATACACGGAGAAGAGTTTGGATTGCAGGGGGATAGATTCACATGCTACCCAAAGTGAATCTAGACAAAGTGGAAACACAATACTCCCCAACATCACAGCGTTTGGCAAAAGTATGTTCGAAGGAATGCATAGACCGCAGGAAGAGAATAACAAAAGGAAAGAGGAAAAAGAGAAAACTAAAGAAAGAGGTGATGGAAAGTCGGGAGAAAAAGGAAAGGATAAAGGTAGAGATAAGAAGGAGAAGGATAGAGATAAGAAAAGGCACAAGAAGAGCAAAGACCGGGAAAAAGAGAAGAAAAAGGAGAAGAAGTCGAAGGAAAAAAGTGATCATGATAGACTTCAAAACATTAGAAGCAATACAACTTCAGAACTTTCAAGGGATAGCGATGCTGGTGCTGCTTTTGATGTAAATCTAAAAAAAAGAAAACTTGTTCCAAATGGTTTTGTACATGGTGAGTTCTGGTCCCTGATTACCTTCAAAGCTGCTATTTGTTCACTTCCTCCTAACATAAATGATGCTTGGAAAGGATGTGGTTGCTCTTTTCTGTTCTACTCCCTGCCAGAATTCATTTTGAATATGCAATATGTTTCTTGTTAAAGTTCTTAGTCAGGCAATTTCCATATTTGCAATGAACATATTATATTCAGCTCTACTTGACCCTTTTGTTTGGCGGACTGATAGTGCTGCCCATGTGTTTGTCTTTCTTTCCTTGCAGATGACGAAGCTAGGCCTGCTAAAATACCCAAGCCTGCTTCTCATGGGCCAATACAGAATGGAGACAAAGTTGAAACTTTCCATGTTCCTGTCATTTCAAACAGGCTAAGCGTTTCTGATATTAAGGTGGCTAATAAGACGCAGAAGAGGAATGGTGCAGTAGATGGTCAGCCATCAGTGTCTATTCCTAGACCAAAGCTTTCGCCTCCTACTACTAGTATTGGTCAAATTGCTGAACCATCTCTAACACCTCCACTTGCTGATCAATTTGCCGAAACAACTGGGAGAACTCCTCCAGTTGACCATACTGCCAAGGCAGTTGGCAGACTTCCCTTTTCTGATCAAACTGCCGAAACACTTGGCAAACCTCCTATTTCCAAAACGCTTGTCAAACATCCATTTTCCAAAACACCTGTCAAGCCTCCTCAAGCTTATCAAACTGCTGAAACAATTGGTAGACCTCCTAGTGCTGATCACACTGCCGAAACACTTGGCAAACTTCCCTTTTCCAAAACATCTGTGAAACCACCTCAAGCTTATCAAATTGCTGAAACACTTAGGATACCACCTTCTGCTGATCAAATTGTTGAAAAACCTCTCCATGCTGATAAAATTGCTGAAGTGTGTCGGAAACCTCCTAGTGCTGCTATATTTGCTGAAGTGTCCAAGAAACCTTCTCAAAACAATGTAGTTGTTGAAGCACCAAAGAGGTCTCCTCATCCTGATGTCAAGTATCTGAACCAGATCCTCACTGTTCCCAAAATGGAAGAGTGGGTTGAATGCGATGATGACAACGAATGGTTGTTTGGAAGCAAAGATCCTTCAGAGAAGAAGTCAGGGGTGCGTTCCAACGTGATCAATGAGGAGCTCCAGGTATGGTCCGAAGCTCGGTATATAGAATCTACAGATATTTATGCTCTGCCATATGTAATTCCTTATTGAGTGCTCTGGGAATTTGGTGCAATCCTATTGGTGAGGTCATCAAATGTGACTTGTCACACATTCATAACCATCATCAGGCCTGGGCATGAGTATATGCTGGGATTTCGGTTGCATTGTTTTTGCTTGTGTTCTCAAATTTTGGGGAATTTTTGCCCCAAGTAGAACACAAAATTGATTCAGAGGGGATTTTTCCCAAGGCCCACCAAGGTTGACATCAAAGTTGTCCACAATCTTATGCAAGTTGATTCAATTAGTGTAAAGCTCAGAGGCTCCTTTCTAATTGAGTGTGAGAGGAAGTTGAGCTTTGTGGACTTTACACCTCCAGAAAATTTTGATTTGTAACATAGAACTCTTTATAGATGTAAAATAGAGAAAAATGAAAGCAGTTATTCCAATTTATTTATTTCTGCTTGTGTCCGAGGCTCTGTTTGAATGGGCATGTGGCAAGTCCGAATTTTTTATACTGTCTCCTCACTTACAGTATAAGCACAGTTTGAAGTTGGCTGTGTTGGAATGTGGTTGCATTTTAGTTGGGCTTTCACTGCAAGTCTGCAACTGTTTTGGGATTATTACTCAGGTGGGAGGCACCAAAAGTGAGGAACGCTGATTTTCTTCCTCTCCTTTTGCGCCTGTGAATTGGCAGAAAACTTTAATCACCTTTTTTTTTGCCTCACCAAAAGTCCAAAACTGGTTTTCTTCCTCCCCTTTTATGCTTGTGAATTTCAATATCATTATCCAAAAAAAAGGATGACACCCCATCCCTGAGGGCCCCCCAACTCCGACCGGACAGTACGTTGGGAGGATGTAAGTTGGACTATAATCCCAATCCGACAGATAGAGAGTGAGACTCTGTCCCCGGTAATTTCAATATCATTATCCTTATCGTAATACTGGTTAATCAAATATTTGCTCATTAAAATTTCGATTTATAATTTATCGGTTTAACAAAAGAATCATGGAAAAAATAAGATAATTCACAAATGTCTAATTAACTTAACAAATAAATACACATTGTACATCACTATTCTACCATAACTTTTAAAATTTCCCTGTCACGATCACATAGTTTTATTATTGATTTTTTATACAGTTCTAAACACCATTTTATTTAGAGCATCTTTAATAAAGATGTGAATTGCATCATATAAAAAATGTACACGTGGGGTATATGAATAGCTTGTGAAGCTGTAGTGGAAGCACACACTTGCAATCAAACTTTATCTCCAATGGAGTGATCTTTCTGCTATTCTCTATGCAAAGCACTCAACAAACTGCTCTTAGCCGGGATACAAACTGCGTCATCCAGAAATCGTCTCTCTATTGCGACAACACTCAACAAATTGCTCGATCGACTCACACAAATATATATGGATGATTGGCTAAGAAGTGGTCGGATAGGGGTGCAAGATTACTCTAGCCTGTTGCAAAAGAAGATCTCTTGGATGATTTTTGCAAGACCACTGCCATGGATGTGATCTTCAGCACACCTATGTTCTCTTCATAAATCAAATCGTCATTTTCCTGTTGCTGCTAAACAAAAACGAGCCGGAGAAGATCAACGGAGAGGAATAGGGGGTTGTCGCTGCTATCGCCTAGATGAGGAGTGTAGCTAGCCGTATCACAAGGAACTTCCAGACGGAGAGATGGTTGTCCCGTTTGATTACGTGACTCCGTTGGCAGAAGGGAAGGAGCACTCCATTTTTGTTGGTCAAGCACTCAGGATTGATATACTCCGTATTTCGTACATGTTTCCGGAAAAATTATTTTAGAATAAATGTTTTGCCGAGTTGGCTGTTAAACACCCTTGCTGAAACTAGAAAGCCGGATAGAAAGTGTCCCCTCTTTTCCAATCCAACTCAGCACCAATAGCCAATATACATTTTGCCATTGTAGAGGGTAATTTGACCCCAATGTGATGTGTCAAACTGGCAATTCATACCCCCATTACAAATGCCCTTAGTTCTAAGTAAGTGATGGATGCACGGATATGAGCTGCTATTTAACTACTAAACCTTGTCAAAGCCTTTTTATGTCCTGCTTTGTGAGTATTTTTAGATAGATAGAGTTATAAATCAGAAAATTAGGTTATATTCTTAAAAGCAATTCACTTTTGTGAGTAAATTATAGAAACTAGTAGTAAAAGTAACAATATTGTATTTTGTATATGTTCATCATCATCATCCCAGTACCGCAAAAGCTCCCACCTCTAGTGAGGTAAAGAGAGGTGGGATGTACGCAGTCTTAGCCCTGTACTAAAACACAAAGAGATGGTTTCTGGATGACCCATAGTGAAAATTGTATTAAAAATTGTATGGACTGACTGATGCTTCATAACAAAGAAGTGCAGAAAGTTTAGTGAGCCATTTTGCTTTTTTGCATCATATTCCTAAGCCAAAAAATAGTGATTCTTTGGCTTCATAGCAAATGATGGAAAGTTGTATATGTTCTTTTTACTTTAAAAAATTACTTTGCGTCCCAAAAATACTTCTCAATTTCACTTGACACATTTATTAAGAATGTGAGAATAAAATAAAAATGTATAATTGTTATTGAGTAAGAAATAATTAAATAAGCGTTAGTCACACAAATTATTCAATTCCCTAAAGGGAGATGGAAAGATTTTTTGGGGACGAAAGTAGGATACATGGAGTATTTATTTACAATTTGTTGCAAAGGTAAAGATTATTTGAAATGTTAGAATAACTATATTTATTTAAAAACGTAAATATATATGTTTGCTAGATCAAATATGCTGGTAAGTGATTTTTTTGTTCCTGATGAAAGAATATTTTTCCATAAATAATTGAAAATACCGTTTGATCAATAAATATCATATTCCTATAAAATTCACTATCATATTCCTAAATCAAAAAAATATTTTTAAATGCATATAAACTTCTTAGAATACATGAACAGTTTTAAGAGATTAAAAAGCACAAATCTCTTAATTTATGTAGTAATTACTTTATTACTGATAATTTTACCAGAAAAATCATAACTATAAATGATTATATAAATTTTTTCTATTGTCAAACTATTATAAGATCATTAGTAAAGATTGTTAAAATTCACGGGAAATGAAAAAATAAAAAACTTAAAGGAAATGCATAGATGCCGAACGTCTAGCTCCTTTTAAAACATTGAATAATAATAAAAAACATGAACAAACCCTTCTTAGATAAGATCATATCAAAATAGAAAATTTTAATCAAATTAATTTTTTTTTGATTTTGAAATTAAGGATGCTTTTACTTGGACTGTAATTTGCTGGTCTGGTCTGGTCTGAACTGGTCTGGTCTGGTCTGAACTGGTCTGGTCTGGTCTGGTTTCTTTGTATTTTTATAACTATCCAAGTCTGGTCTGGTCTGGTCTTGTCTGAACTGGTCTGATCTGGTCTGGTCTGATCTGATCTGGGATGAATTACAGTCCAAGTAAAAACATCCTACCACCACCATCACCGATGGTTGGTAGTCCAATGAAAAATCTCTTTCCTTTTCCGTTGACACCAAACTCTAGTTGGTGTTGAACAAAAATCATTTAGCATGACTTTTCAAATGAGTTCTTTCACACGGTTTATGTTGTGAGTTTGTCACATTCCTGCATGCTTTGAATAAAAGTACCGTAATATTTTTTTTTGGAAGAATTTGGCTTAAATTGAAATCTCAACGTTGAGATGATGGGTAATCCGACAAATAGAATCCTGACAACCGTTGTCCCGCGAACCAGACTCAGAGTTAATCACCCCATCCAAAGCAATATAACTCGCTGATCCATTAATGGGCACAAATGAGTCAAAAACGGTTACCCTAATTCCACTGTCATCCACATCCAAACTCAATGTCTTACAAACAGGAATCATAATAGAAAACCAAAATAAAAAACAAACAGAACAACCTGAAAAGTAATAGAAGCTAAAATAAAAAATAATAGTCTGCCTCCCAATCTGCTTGCTCTGCACCCTTATCAAGATTCCTGGCCTCTAGTTCTTAGTCTTCATAGGCGGGCCTACTGCTCGAAGCCCGCCTCCTCCCCGTTTCCTGGCCTCTGGTTCATAAAAGTACCGTAAGATTGAATTGTATTAAACTTGTTTTTTGACAAAAATTGTATTAAACTTATTGTTTGTGAGTACAGTTGTATGATATAAATAACTGAATAAGTATTTACGTACTTCATCTACCAATGCTGATATCAGTGCCGGATCCAGGATTAAAACTTATTGGGGGTAGGGTAATTAAAAATGCATCAGAAAAAAGTATTAATGTAATATTAAAATAATAAAAGTTTTAACAGTAGATGCATAACAAAGTTGTTTTGAGTTTTTATCTTTTGGAAGAGATACACTACAGAATCATTTGTAACAATTTTTGTGGAAAGTCATGTTAACGTGATTAATAAGATCCTTTAATCAAATATTTTATCCCGAATTTATTCATTTGTTTAGGTATTGATATACTCCCTCTGTCTCGCAAACAAGTTCTGGTTTGACTTCAAGGGTTTTAGGTAGAATAGGAAAAAGTTGGTTTTTCGAAAATGCTCTTGGATAATTAAAAGGTGCAGTAACTAAATGGACATAATAAAGAGGGTAATGTATAGTGAAATTGGGGCAATACACATCAATTCAATGAAGTGATGTGAGGGTAAAAGGGGTCAAGCCGAACAAGCCGAAAATTTTCATTAGTGTAAGGAGTGATTTTTTTCGCTAGTATAGCGGGACGAATTTTATTCAGTAGTTTAGCGGTGAGATATTTTTTCGCTAGTGTAGGCTTCTGCGGCTTTTTTCATTTAAAAAATCCATTAATACATGCACAACAACATTTATATATACTACATCCTAAGTTTAGACTGAAAAAAATAACTTCGATATTATAATTGAAGGTGCTCTATAAACATGTATTGCTACATTAAAGCGTAAGAAATGACAACCAAAGGAAACTAATTTGAAAAAAAAGATATATAACATTTTTTCCAATTATTTGAAGATAAAGAGTTAAATAGGTACACATCCATCAATACTTTTTAAATAACTTCTACATTGTTTAACCACATGAATCTTGTCGGAATAAGGAATTTATTTTTGAATTGCAATTTTTGTCTACTAAGGAGGGTGTTTGTGAGTCAAGATGACTTTTCTTTAGATTACAATATTATGTACTTCCTCCGTTCTTAAATAAATGCAACGATCAACATTTTACACTTGCCGAGACACAACTTTGACCATTAATATAAATGATTTTGTATTAGTAAAAAAATTAAAAAAATTAGATTATGAAAATTTACAATGAGACAAGTTTAACAATATTTTTTCATAAAATAATATTATTACATTAATAAATAAAACGTAGTCAAAGTAGAACATGTGAATAGTGTAAAAGTCAAAGTGTTGCATTTATTTAAGAACGGAGGTAGTATGAGATTATTATTTTTAGAATAATATTATATTGCTAATTCATATATATATATATAGTGCATATTATATTTGAAT